TTGGGTAAACTAAATAGAGTAGTCCTATTTAGTTTACCCAAAAATCCGTCAGTAGTATTTGCTCATTGTTAATTTCATGTCACTGTTTCTAAAACAGGGAGTTTTTCTGGGCTGCGTTAAAAAAGGGCAAAAATTGAGAGTATACCCACTTCTCCAGGGACCACTACACCACTGCCTAAGAGGACTAAAGAACACTTGTTGTGTCACTGTGCAGCTTCCGGAAATAAGAGTGTGAAACCTGAAGCTGAGTGTTAACAGGAAATCAATGGTAAATGATTGATTTAGTACCAAATGCTATTCGTTTGGATCTACTTCTGTCATGTGGACTGTTGAGGCCAGTCCCACTTTGTAAACAGAGCAGCAGACCGGAACCAAATATGGCACGGATGGACTGTAATGCTGTACAGCAGCTGGAGAATAAAACTCCAACGTCAGTGCTGAAGTTTACTGCTGAAATGACCTGTTTTAGGCCACACCAAATTAATCCTATCATGTTTACGATTATCCAGCCTGCTTTACCAGCCACAACTCACTGCACACCAATCAATGTAACTTACACAAAATACTCTCAGATAGAGGAGTTTTGTGTGATAGTTAACCAACAAAAAGACTTAAGTTTCAAAAAGGATACAGCAGATGGTGACAATGGTTTGAACCACAGTGGAGATGATACGTAGTGGGTAGAGAACCTTCTCATAGCCTGTCAGCGAACACTTCCTGGTCAGCGCGGTGAGCAGAACAGTGTAGAAGCAGATGCACATGAAACTGATGGCAGCTCCGAGGTAGTGAAGCAGTGACAGGTAACCAGGCTGTGGAGGACAGTCAGTAGTTTCCACGGTCAATAGAGGAATAGATTGTTATAAACATTGATAGGTGTACTACAAAACTATTTCTATTACTGAACTATTACTGTGTCACTTTTGTTTAATTGAAGTGTTTGAATTTCCTGAGTTTTATTGTAGTTTAAAACAAACAAAAAAAGGTGGTAAATAGTAACTGGTTCCAATTCACTCCTGTTTAACAAAATGGCGAGTACAAAGAAATAAAATATTCTAATCTGGCTGATCACACAGGAAACATTCATGTAGTTCAAAACGGGAAATTTTGCAGAGCTGATGTTGATATTTGATCCTTAATACATTTGTTGTTGATTGATTTAAAATCAAACCATTTCATGTTAAACATTGGGCACAAGCTTCGCCAACTTGTGTGCTCTAAATCATTACAGATTACATTAAACAAACACTTACGCACCTTTGTTTGCTGTTTCCAAACAGCTGTTTAGGATTATTGCCAATATTATATTATGTCTATTATATAAAGTCCTGCCAGTTCACTGTTCTGTGAGGTGAATTCCTCCCAGAGATATATTAATTCAAACACATGCAGCAGGAAGTGCAGTACTTACATTACAGTTGCCAGCTGCGAATGCCCCCAAGGCTGCCACCACACCAAAGACCAGAGCAAACTTGCTCAGCATGGAATGACATGCATGTCTCTCCATAATATGAGCATGGTGGAATATACAGAACAGCAGAACTAAAGAGAAGATCACAGTTGGTATAACATATATCACTTATAATATATATACATATACATACATATGCATGGCATTTAGCAGGTAAACTCACATAGAAAGGATCCTGCGTTGATTGTTGCTGTAAAAAGGGAATTTTCTGGCGCACTAGTTCCACTTGAGCTGGAATCACATAATATGTTCAATTAAATATGTCTCACTTTTTGATTCCAGTGAAAAGGAAAAACAAAAAGGTAAAATTAAGAGGCCAACATTCTCACCTTATAGTGGGAGCAAGGCAACATCCAGTGGACTGATTCCCTCTGCAGTAGTGGTCAGCTCCCCTGAAAACAAATGGATGAGGTTCTGTCACATCCAAATCCTCGTGGTCAACTATCTACAGTAATGAGACGCAACTCACCAGTCACTGAGAGAGCACACATGATTGTTGGAGAAGGCCAGGCCATATCTGGAAAAATATTAAAAAAATAATTACTGATGTGACTATTTTAATAATTGGGCTGTATACTCTTGTTTGGTAGTGTTTTTTATTCTTATTATGCAATATCTTCCACTTTTCCAAAATAAAGGTAGAACCCCAGTTAATAACAGCACATTCCTGTTGACTGAATCTATCTAGAAGAAGAGAGGACGACTGCCTAAGCTAATGATTTTTTCCTAATGCTGACTCACCAAAAAACCACCACAAATATTTCTGACATTAAAAAGAAGACAACACCTGAATTTAGTCTGAAGAATGAGCTACTGCAGTGCAAATGGCAAAAAACCCTCACACAGGATAACTTTATTAATAATCGATATACATAATGAAACATATATCATATGAGATGTTCAGTTAAACACGACAGATGACAAAGCAGAGGCTGGAACAAACATTACTTAACGTGTAGTCCCTAATGACTAACATAGCTTAATTATTATCAACACAAAGAACAAGTAGATTTACAGGTATGCACGCCTCAGGTTAATGTAGGAATTTGTTCAACAACATTGTCTCTTGGTATTCGTGGGAACTCTGGTGCGCACCCTTAAGAACAAAACTAGCCAGGTCACATATCTCAACAACACTCTTTCATAATATGTTTCCTCATGCCGTCTTGGCGTCGACATATATATTAACATATACAGTATGATACAATATCACAGTTTATCACAGAGCTTCTAGAACTTTATTACATTACAGAAGCATTGAAAAGCTGCCGAAAAATAATAGTGTATACCATTTCCTCACGTGCCTGTCAAGGCCAAGTGAATATCATATTACTACTGGAATCTCAATGCCCTAGCCAAAATTTTACAGTTCAATAATGAATAATTATTGATTTAAACATGATGTAGCTGTTCGTCAAGTCTGTCAGGAGTCACATTATCATGAAATACTACCAACACTTACAGCTTCGTGATCAGCTTTAAACTACAAGCTTTCAGTTGTGAATAATACCGAGGTATAAATGCATTTAATAATCTTCAAAAGGTCTAAAGTTAATGTAAACGTTAGTGTAAATGTTCTAATATTTTCACCCGCGTGTAAAGACAAAAGAGAAAAAGGTGTTAATTTTCTGGTAAACTTACACAGCCCATGTTCCAATGAAGGACACCAGGGAGAGGGAGATGGGGAAAATAATCCAGAGCACCATGTCTTGGTGTTGAGGAAGACAAGAGTAATAAATTAAAACAGGGAGTCCTTAAATCCAGGTGTCTTCAAAACACTCAGCGGTAGACCTCTTCAGGAGTTTGGAGAGTCCTCATGGAGACAGCCTCATACCTACATAGCAAGATCAGCACTGGAACATAACAATAAAGTCCTAACCATGTAACCTGTATGACATAAGTGTAGTAGACAGTTGAACTGCTGGAGTTATACTTATTGGTTTCCACCTTTTATGGGAGAGTCTTTTTCTCTGCCACTCCTTCAGAGCACCACCTTGCCATGTCAGAACAAATGTTGGGAAACATGGGGTTGGCCTTGTTGAGGCTGTCACTTTGTTTGTCTTATTCCAAAGAGACTCTCCTTTATGCTTTATCTCAATCCGTTGCAGAGTCTGTTATACAGGTGATTCTGGATTTGAACTATGATCTCATTCACTGGATATGTCTTGAGAACAAAGCAGTAGTTCTGTATGACTGTTATGTAAGAAATTATCTGAATGTTTTGTCGTTTCTCTGTCATCAAGTATTGGAATTTAACTAAGCACGTTTACTCCAATAAATACAGTTTTGAGGTACTTGAGCTTTACTTTATATTTTATGCTTTATAGTTACACTTCACTACATTTTTTGGGGGGAAATATTGTATTTTTTAACTCCACTACACTTAGTCAACAGTTATAATTACTAGTTACTTTGCAGTTTAAACATATAGGTGCGTAAAATATGATGCAGTAAAATTTCCACTTCCACTTTCCATTTCAACTTACTATGTCTTCCACCACTGCTGTCCTAACACCCTGGGGACCTTTGTCATTATAAATATAGTTTTGTTATTATATAATATATCTCTTAGTTGAGAGAATAAATGAAATTAAAGCTATTGGTTATTATTTTATTATTATATTGGTACATGAATTAAACATTTTAATCTCATTGTAGATCTTTTTTGTTTTACATTTCTACAGGTTTATTATAATATTATTTCTGTCTCTCGCTAACAGCAGCTTTCACTGAGGAAATACACTGAATAAAGCTGAATATGAGGTTACAGATGTTGAGGAGTGCAGCTGTCGACCACACGAGGTCCTCGTTTTCAAAACAAACAAAATGGCGGCGCACATGAGATGGGGACTTCGCCAGTTGTTACGGACAAGAAATACGTCTCACATTAGGTTTGAACCTCTAAATCCCTGACATGTCGCTTTGTAAACTCGTTGTACTGCCGATGTGATGTGTTATAATGCTCGACTGAAGCGTTGAATCGAGGATCCGACATGTGGTTGAGGGGATAGTTTTAGCGAGCTAATAAAGCTAACTAGTGAACTGCGACACTTCGCGACGGGTTGTTTTATAATCATATAATCCCACAATTCATCCATCTTAGCCTGACTGTACACTGTAGTGTCAGTAAAACAATAAAAGATCCTTTGGATAACGTGGTTACCAGTTGGTTTGTCCATTTAAACCCTGAGCTAACAGCTAAAGTGAACTGACTTATTATTTAATCCTGCCTTGAAAGAAATGAATGCGTTAAACTCCCGTGTTTCCTGACAGACATTGTCTTGTATTCTTTATGCTTTAAGGTTTCCAGACAACGCCAGAAGCTCATATCACTCACAGTGCACGACTCAGAGCTTCAGGAAGGTCCAGCCTCAGCCCTGCACAGGAACCACACACTTCTCAAGTGAGGAACCATTGTTTGGACACCTTTTAATGCCTTTTAGTCACTCTCTGTCATCTTGTCTCAGTGATACTGCCGAACAGACAAGAAAAAAAAAACATAAAACCATACTAAAGTATAGTTTTTATGATATCTTTCAGTAAGACAGCTGTCCATCCAGACTCAAGACACTCCAAACCCCAGCAGCTTGAAGTTTCTCCCTGGTAAACCTGTCCTAGGAAGTGGGACGCTTGACTTTCCCTCTCCGAGCTCAGCTGGATGTTCATCTTTAGCCAGGTTGTACATTCTCAAAACAATACATTGCCTTTCTTCCCTCAGTGTTTCCCTTTGAGAGGCAGAAATCATTACAGTTTTGGACCAGGAGAAGAAAGCTGTGCACACCTATTTGTTTGTATCTTGTTTATAAATCATAGTGTAAAAAAAACTGCTAACTTACACTCATAAGACGCTTGCTCATGGGCAGACATAAAAAAAAACAATGTGAAAACTTCAAATGTGAACTTCATTCACATTTTCCAAAATGTTGCATCAGATGTATGAGTGCGTGTGACTTTCCCATTCTCTTTTCTTAATATAAATAATAGTTTGACTCGCGATATTATCTTTATTGAGCTATTCATGGTTGTGTCTTCAGTTCTCATGGTGTCGCTCGGTAGAAGACTACATACAGAAGATGTGACAAATGTACCTCTTGGAGAAAAAATATTCTTCTTTGTGATCCTCCAAGGTTTCTGTGAATGATTGTATTGATATGTTTTGTTTGCTGATACATTCTGTCTTGTCTCGACACAATGACAACATCGTAAAAAGCAGCGATGTTATCAGTGACGCTCTCGATAGGAGCCTGCACAAGTGGATGTTATCACTAAATGGACTAACGTGAACGCAGACTTTTTTGTCGAACAATAACAAGATAACATGTTTCTTTCAGGGACCTGTTTGAAATCGAAGGAGTGAAAAGTGTGTTCTTTGGCCCTGACTTCATCACAGTCACGAAAGTAAGAATGTACTCTGTACAGTTTGTCTCTGTGACTCCTGTTCTGATGAAATCTTTGTGGTGAGACTACAGGAGATCTTTGTTTTTGCAGGCAGATGAGGATGTGGAATGGACAGACATTAAGCGCCATGCTTCGGAGGCCATTGCTAAGTTCTTTGAGAGCGGTGACCCGATAACAACAGGGGCAGTGTACAATGAAAGCAGTGAGTGTGCAACCTGCCCGCATTAGTCATCTTGGAGTTATGCAGACTGTATAGTATGTAATTATCTCCACACTGTACATTTTCTTTTTTGTAGGCCATTCTGAAGATGATGATGAAATTGTATCTATGATAAAGGAGCTTCTGGACACCAGAATCAGGTAAAAACTAGTAACCTTGAGAGCAATTTTGGTTGTTGCAATTGGAATAGCTTGCTGTTTAATGGTTTATGTATTATAAATCCTGATCACATATTTCCTTTACTCAGCACTCATAACAATGATGCTCCCAGTGTAGTAAAACACAGTCGTGCTAAGATAACAGTCTTAATCTGTCTGTCCTTTGTGCTGCTTTGTTCTGTACAAACTGGTACAAATCATTTTCACTCACAAGACCTACAGTGCAGGAGGATGGAGGCGATGTCATCTTTAAGGGGTTTGAGGACGGCACAGTCAAGCTCAAGCTGGTCGGTTCCTGCACAGGTTGTCCCAGCTCCACGGTTACCCTGAAGAACGGCATTCAGAACATGCTGCAGTTTTATATCCCTGAAGTAGACAATGTGGAACAGGTGATTATTATGATAAGATCAGTTTTCTTGTGGGATTTGTTTTTGTAGATGAGCAGAGATTCGTGCTGGTTTTTAATTTGAGACAAAGCTTCACTATTTGTTTTCATTCTGGGATTGTTTTTGTTTTTTCAAAGTTGCTGCATAGATATTTAAATCATCATATGCAGGAAATTGGGCTGTGATTTCATTTTAATTCTAATGTTTGGGCCCTTAAGGCTGAGCAATGAAACCAGACAGTAAAGCTAAATAAAACCGTAAAAAAAATCCTATTTTAATATCATTTCACTTACTTGCTACTATACTGAGTTGAGTTTCTGTCATGATTGAAGGTAAAATATGTATTTTATTTCACATTTCACATTTTGTCAATTGCCCTTTTTGCCCAGGTGGAAGATGAAGTGGATGAAATCAACGCGAAGGTTTTCTCAGAGTTGGAACGCAAATTACAAGACTAAAGACTTACTCGAACAACACACTTTAGAAGAAACATATGTTCCACTGAGTAAAGAGAAAAAGTTATTACCTGCTATTTTGTGTGCACACTATATACCGTTAGGAGTTCAAGCTGTAAGTACATGTACATACTGTATGCCCCTGTTACCAAGACAATGAGATACAGGAAATATACCTGTATATAGAATATATTGTCATTCTTCTAACCATTCAAAATGTTCTGCTGTGATGCCTGTAATTGTTGTGATTTATTTATTTATTATAAATATTGTATATTTTGAAATAATATTTTCATAGGAGGGAGATATTGTCAAAGTTTTTGACATTGTTTATGGTGATGCAGAATGATGATTTGATAAGGTATTCCAGTTGTTGCTGATTTATCAAATTAAACCTGAACTGTTTTTGCTTGTTAATGCATCATCTATAAATGACAAAAAATGTAATTTGCTAAAATTATTATTGAAGCTGAAGTAGGTTTACAATATGACATCCTGTAAGACGTGTATGCTGTATTTATCTGCTTTGTGCTGTATTTTCTTTTCAGATTTACTGTATCACATTAAACAGAACTCATAGTTTGAAAGTAAATCTTTGTTGTTGATTCCTTTTTTTAATTATTATTAGTTATTGTCATGTTCTTCTAGTTATGACTGGTGTCATTATATCATATGAGGGTAGAGAAAACCAACCAATGACAACTCACACATACTGTTTGTTTCTAGAATAAAAGAAAGGGTAGTGAATTGTAACAGGCTTTAGGCTAAATAATCTTTTGAATCTTTCCTATATTTTTTTACTCAATTGCAATTCAGCAACCAGTAAATACAGATAATGATCCGCTCTAACTCTAACTCTAGCTCTACAAGTTTGCAACTACAATTCTTTGCACCTTACCTACCTATTTATCTTTTTTATCTTTTCTAAGTATTTTATTCTATTGTTGTATTTTATTCTATTGTATTTTAATGTACCTGGCTGCTATGACGACCCAATTTCCCTTCGGGGATTAATAAAGTCTATCTATCTATATCTATCTTTTCTGACTCAGCA